TATCAAGAGAAAGAAACCCAATCACACAAGGAAACCAAATAACAATTATAATATATCACCAAATATAAAAACTAATATATATATATATATATATATATATATATATATATATATATTCAAAAATAAATCAGAAAAGCAAAATAAAAAATTAATCAAAAAATTTGATTTAACATAAGATTTATTATCTTCTCTACTCCTACTAGTGGTATATACAATTGAATTTATATAAAATATAAATATGAAACGATTGTAGCGCAAATTTTATGAAAAATATTAATTTTTTTAAAGTTCAATTTTGTTTTGATCAAACAAGTTTGCGGGTACAATCTCTATATGGAACCCTCTGATTCTTTTTTTCTTGAACTTGGATTTGGATCCTCAAAATGAATTGGACTTGAATAACATTGACTCGAGGGTTTTAAAGTTTTTTCCTCGAATCAAACGCTAATTGGTTGAACTCAGGGACGTAACCAGAAAAAAAAAATAATAACCTACGCTAATTGGTTATAAAAATGAGTTAAATTATGCAATTAAATTTATAAAGCAAAATAGAAAACAAGTTTCGAATAAAAAATGCATATAAGATGCTTCGTATTCATTACAATTATTTAAAAATGTAGAAAAAAAATGTTGTCTATTTAAGATGCGTCCTCTGATTCTTCATACTGTAAAGCCCGTCAATTATTGATTCAGTGTTTATCTTCGAAGTAAAGTCTCTTTCGATGTAGATAATCATAGAATCCGCTAAGATGTCTTCTTCCATTTTATTTCGAAGGGGAGTTCTGAGAAGTTTCATAGCTGAAAATGATCGTTCGGATGTTGCAGTAGAAACTGGAAGCGTAAAAATGAGGCAAATCACTTTGTCAATTAAATAATAATGTCTTGCATTTTCCGTCTCTACTAACTGCCGACATAAATCAGAAATGGTAGAAATATTTTGGATTCTCTCATGTTGGACAACGTCAAATTTATAATGCTCTAATTGACCCCTCAAATAATGTCGCCCTTGCCTACTAGAAGCATTATAATAGAATTTCTTGGCAAGAATATAAATATCATAACTATTGATCAACTTAAAGTTATCTCGAGGCTCCAATGCAGAGCTAAGCCGAAGAAGTTCTACAGCCTCATTATTAAATATGCTATGAAACTCTTCCAGTTGAAAATCTATCGTCGGATTGAATAGATTATAGTGATAATGATGCTCAACTGTTATGGCAAACTTCTGTTGGCAAGATGCCCTCTACAAGA